GAAGCAAACTTTGTCTCAGAAGAATCAGATGATGCATTGATATGCTCTTTGGAGAGCAAGGCGGAGTCATGGGTTTTAGATTCTGGAGCATCGTTTCATGGCCCCTCAAACAAAGAGCTATATAATAGCTATGAACCGAGTAACCTTGGTAAGGTGTATCTTGGTGATGACCAGCCTTGCAGCGTCATTGGCAAGGGTGAAGTGCAAATCAAGTTAAATGGGTTAGCTTGGAAGTTAAAGGATGCGAGACACATCCCTGACTTGAGGAAGAATCTTATTTCGGTAGGATAATTGTCAAATGAAGGTTTTGTTACAACCTTCAATGGAGACTCATGGAAAATTTCCAGAGGCGCTATGACCATTGCACGTGGTAAGAAAGTTGGCACTCTCTACACAACTACCAGTGCTTGTGGGTCTATAGCAGTTGTAGAAAACAGAGAAAATCACAACCTTTGTCACCAGAAAGTAGGTCACATGAGTGAAAGGGGGCTCAAGATTATGCACTCTGTGAGAGTTACGTGATGGGCAAGCAGAAGAGGGTTAGTTTCAAAAAGAGTGGCAGAGATATCAGAAAGGAGAAACTTGAGTTAGTTCACACAGATGTTTGGGGCCAACCACTGTTTCATCCATTGGCGGAAAATCCTACTTCGTGACTTTCATTGATGATCACACGAGGAAAGTATGGGTTTATTTTTTGAAACACAAATATGAGGTATTTGATGTGTTCAAGAAGTGGAAGGCCATGGTGGAGAATGAGACAGATTTGAAGATCAAGAAGTTGAGATCAGATAATGGTGGTGAGTACGAAAACACTGGGTTCAAGAAGTTCTGTTTTGATAATGGGATCAGATTAGAGAGGACTATGCAATGAACCCCATAGCAGAATGGGGTGGCAGAATGGATGAACCGAACATTGACAGAAAGAGCCAGAAACATGCGCATACATTCGGGTCTACCCAAACAGTTTTGGACCGAAGCGGTCAATACAACATCCTACCTAATAAATCGTGGACCATCGGTTCCTTTGGAGCATCGAATACCAAAAGAGGTATGGAGTGGCAAAGAGGTAAATCTTTCATGGTTGAAAGTTTTTGGTTGTATTGCATGTGCGTATATTAATGACTATGCTAGGGGAAAGCTCGACCCCAAGTCACTAAAATGCATCTTCGTTGGGTATGGCAGAGATGAGTTTGGTTATCGACTCTGGGATAATCAGAACAAGAAAATCATCAGAAGTAGAGATGTGATTTTTAACGAGAAGGTGATGTATAAGGATAGAGATGCAACATAGTTAACTAGTCCTGTACAGAGTAAGCCTGAGTTTATTGAGTTGGATGATGATCCAGAGAGCGTTGATGCGGAGCAGACAGATGAGGGTTCTTGGCCAAAACTCACAGAGCATAGTTTACCACAGATTCCAACTCCTATGCCTACACCTAAAAGGTCTACGTGACCTTATGTACCGAATAGGAAATATTTGGATTATATGTTGCTCACAGATGATGGTGAGCCTGAATGCTATAGTGAAGCATGTCAGGTTGAAGATGCTAGCAAGGGGGAGCTTGCAATAGAAAATGAGATGAAGTCCTTTATCTCTAACAAACCATGGGAACTATCCAAGTTGTCCATGGGGAAGAAAGCTCTTCACAACAAATGGGTGTACAGGGTAAAAGAGGAGCACGATGGTTCCAAGAGATACAAGGTAAGATTGGTGGTCAAAGGCTTTTAGCAAAAGCAAGGCATTGACTACACAAACATTTTTTCCCCGGTTGTGAAACTGAGTACCATTCGCTTAGTTCTTAACATTGTTACAGCTGAGGGGTTGCACCTTGAGCAGCTAGATGTCAAAACTGCTTCCTCCATGGTGACCTTGAGGAGGAGATTTACATGCAACAACCGAAGGGTTTCTCAGTCAAAGGGAAAGAGAAACTAGTGTGCAAGTTGAAGAAAAACTTATATGGTTTGAAGCAAACCCCGAGGCAGGCAGTGGTACAAGAAGTTTGATGGTTTTATAAAGTGACATGGCTACAACAAGTGCAATGCTGACCATTGCTACTACTTCAAGAGGTTCAAGTCAAGTTTCATTATCCTTCTACTTTATGTTGATGACATGTTAGTGACAGGTTCTGATTTTGAAGAAATTAGCAAATTAAAGAAGCAGTTGTCTAGCGAATTCGAGATGAAGGATCTTGGTGTAACGAAGCAGATTTTTGGGATGAGGATTAGCAGAGACAAACATAAAGGTATTTTGCAGTTGTCTCAGGCTGAGTATGTTGAACGGGTTCTGAAGAGGTTCAACATGAATAATGCTAAGGCGGTGGGTACTCCCTTAGCTAATCACTTCCGTTTATCTCAAGATCAGTGTCCGAAGACAGACGATGAGAAAAACTTCATGGCTAAAATTCCATATGCCTCAGCCATTGGAAGTTTGATGTATGCCATGGTGTGCACAAGATCAGACATTGCATAAAAATGGGAGTAGTAAGCAGGTTCATGAAGGATCCGGGCAAGCTACACTGGGGAGTAGTAAAGTGGATATTGAGATATCTATGGGGTACCACAGATAGATGTTTATGTTTCAGAAGGGGTGAAGTGAAGCTACATGGTTATGTAGATTCAGACTTTGCTGATGAGGTGGACCACAGAATAAGTATTACCGGGTATGTGTTCATGGTGGGTACAACTGCAGTTAGTTGGATTTCGCAAATACAGAGGATTGTAGCGTTATCTACTACAGAGGCAGAGTATGTGGCGATGACAGAGGCCAACAAAAAGATGATTTGGTTACAAGGTTTGTTAACAGAGTTGGGATTCGAACTGGTGAAGAATATTTTGCACAGTGATAGTCAGAGTGCGATACATCTGGCAAAGAATTCAGCATTTCATTCAACGACCAAACATATAGGACTTCGGTATCACTTTATCAGATCTTTATTAGAAAATGAGGTGTTGACACTTGAGAAAATACTTGGCACTAAGAATCCGGCTGACATGTTGACCAAGACAGTGACTATGGAGAAACTGAAGTTGTGCGCAACTTCAGTTGGTCTTCTAGCTTGAAGACAGAAAGAAGCGCACCGATATGTATGGGACATGCATGAGAAGAAGATGGAATGGGTTTACAAGTGCTCCAGACTCCAAGTAGGAGATTGTTGTGGTTTTGTGGAGTCTGATTAGGTGGAAGATTTTTAGGAAGATTTAATTATTTGAAAACTTCAAGAGTACTGAATTTTAGGGAAAATTCAGTTTCCTAATCTGTTAGGGAAAATTCAGTTTCCTAATCTGATTTGACTTCCTTATTGGTTTAAGAAAAATTTAGTTTCCTGATTTGATTTAATTTCCTTATTGGTTTTGGATTCTACAAAAGGCAAGTTCTTGTAGGACAAGTTTAGGACTCTATAAATAGGGGTGAAAGTTAGAGATAAACGTGTGCCAATACAAGAGAGAGCAATTGAGAGAGATTGAGAAAGAATTCTCCTTGTAATTCTTCATCTTTTTCATAGTTAATTTGTTCGGTGTGCTCCATGGACGTAGCCCTAAGATTTGGGTGAACCATATATATCTTGTGTTCTTGTGTGTGATTTTTTTGTTTTGTAATTGCTTGATTATTCCTCGAACAGTGTCCATTGTTGTTTTGCGTTTCCGCCACAACAACTGGAATCAAATTCGGTTGATTGTACAGTGCAACTCGAACAGGTGGGAGACAACCCAATAAATGGGATCAAAAGTAGTAAAAAAAAGGGGTAACCATGTTCCCACCTTCCCACATGTCTGCCATATTCAACAGTCACCGCTGATGGGCATTATTTGATCCTAGTCAAGGTCTAGCCGTCTCTTCTTCTCTCTCCCTTCTTCCATGCATGTAGATCTATATGTATGTGTATATATAAGTGTACGTGTGTACTATGTATATACTATATAGTACACAGCCACATTCCTTTTGCACTATCAGATGCTCTCAGCTCTCTACGGTTTTTTCTCCTTGCAGCTTTCTCTCTCTACAATGACAGTGAGGAGAGAGAAAGTAAAGCATGGAAAAGGGAAAATGAAATTGAGGAAGAGGTCAGAATTAGGGCTTACACAAAAGTTCCTTAACTAATATCCTTCACCAATTATTTATTTATTTATTTATTTTGGTTATCCGGGAAAACACGAACCTTAGAGATCTCAACAACCCGACTAATCTCCGAGAATCCGGAAATGCGCTTTTCTACTTGGGTAGGGTAAGTCACTGCAGATGTAGCAGAGGCTAGCCACAAAGAACACACATTTTTTCACCAAATATATCTTGTCAAATAGGATTGAGATAATTTTAATATAAAAAAAAAAACATTTTAACTATTTTATTATATTATTTTTTTGTTTGTTTTTTTTTTTTTTAAATTACAAATGGAGACTTGTCCCACATTATTTATTTTTTTATTATATAAATAGGTGGGTATGTAGTGCTATTTCAATAATTTAAATTTTTAGTTAAATGAGTAAACGTCTATCCGTTACAGTCGAGCGCCTGATCCGGAAGATGTTTGGGTGTACCATTTGGATAGGCAGGGTGGCTCGATCGCAATGAGGGTGTTGCAAATTCAGGCGGGGGAGAATATTACAAAGGAAGACTTGTCCCACATTAAATCCGGATGGAAGTAAATTGGATATAAATGAGTGAGTATGCTGTATTACCCAATAACATAAATATTTGAGTAAATAGGCAAAGCGTTCACCCATTGCACTTGGTTACTTGCCACCTTTGATTTGTTAAACATTTCAAAACTTTTTGTGGATTTTGGAATATAATTGCAACATAACTGGTCAAATTAATTTTGAACCATATGACAACAATAAAAAAAAGTTAAAGAACTAAGTAGCCTAAGAATTTAAAGGAGTTACATTCCATAAAAAGTATAATGGTAGATTTGATATTCAGGTATTGTGTTTCTAAATAAAATAATAATAAATTGGTAAAATTGATGAGAGAAAAACCAGAAGATGAGGCTTTAGACACGTTTAAAGTTGATAAAGAAAACAGATTAGTAATGCAGCAGTACATCCACACCATAGATACACGTTGACTTTTAAAACAGTGAGTAGAAAACAATCGCTACCGACTACTCGAGCTCCCTAACAGCACTCTTGAACCTTCAAACATGAAGAGTTCAACCAGAGTTGTAACCACCGTAGACATCAGGATCAGGACTAATACTATAAAAATTTTCATCATCAGACCACTCTCTTGAACCCTCATACATGAAGGTAGGAATATGAGAAGCAAGATTCAATATCTCGTCATCACACTCGAAACCTACACAATCCCTAGCATCAAAAAACACAAGTTTTTTGCAGCCCTCCAAAATCGTCACAAGATTTTCCCGTTTGAGGGATGCCTGCCTCAGGGCCAGATACTTTATGTTGGGCAGTAAGGTGACCAGAACGCATGCTTTATTTTCTCCAATGTAGGCTCCTGAAATACCTAAACCAACAAAATTATTACAATGAATGCTGACTTGTGTAAGGATTGCTTCCATATTACTGGAGCTTCCAAGCCTTAACATCTCCAAATTTTTCCACTTGCTTATCAGACTTGGAATTATGGACATGTCTTCCCAGAAATTATTAGGCAGCGTCAAATATTTTAAAGCAGGACACCTGAAATAGAAATAAAAATAAAAATAAAAAACTGAAATAGATTCTAAAAATTTTACTCTGAACATAGTTTTCTTTTAAATTTCGTTAGCAAATTAGGTATCAAAGGAAAGATTTTCAATTGTTAAGATGTTGCAATCTAGCCCCTGCATCAACACAAACATAGTGATAAAGATTTTAAATAGAACCATTCAATAGATTTTCCATTTCATAAGGTACCATTAATCAAATATCTGAAATTATAATAAAATCCATCCTTAATTTTTTTCTATCAAAATGGTTATCTCAATGAAGTTTTGATATCTTACCCTTCTGCCACACATACTAGAGCCTCTCTTGCATAATCGTCAGGAAGAACTAGTTTAACAGCAAATCCACCACTTCGACTGATGACAAACTTGATAAATCCAGGTTCATCAAACCTGATCATTCCATTTTTATACACTAATCTTGATCTGATGGAATCTAATATGTCAGGAGGAAAAATAAGGTGCTGCCAGCAAAGAGGATTGAGAGTTGCAGTGTACCATGACTTGCATACCAAGGAAACATCAAATAACAGGGACATCATTCCCACTCTTCCAAATATATTCACCAAACAATCCATGTTTAGCTCTTCCCATTTTCGCTCTTCCATCTATAAAAAGGGAAAGTAAACTAAACTGTGAATCTTATTACCATAGTAAAATAAAAATAAAATAAAATAAAAACAACATTTCCCGCTAGAGATGCAAATAATTTTCACATTGTTTATATTAGAGCATTCATTCTGAAAAAAAAAAAAAAAAACAAGAATAATAATAAATAAATAAATAAATTTTTAGAGAATTGGAAGTTTTCATCGTAAATCTTCAAATGGGAATCTACAGAATGCAGACAAAACTAGAGTTTCAAATATGTATAGGTAAATGAAAATTCACATTGTAATTTTAGGACAAACGTAAAACTGCATAAGAAACTGAAACACTACAGAGAGTAGAAACCAGAAAGACCATACAAACCAGTTTAATTCTTGGACAAAGACTAGGACAAAGAAGTGCTTACAGCTCTAATCTTGATCAATCTAGCAATTTAAGCAAATGTATGGTATTGTATCAAATATATATAGATATATATATATATATATAAAATATATATATAGATGAGAGATATAAATGGGTAGGAGAGGAAACGTGTCCTCTCCTTCTGGGATCCAAGAGTCCCATCAAAGTAAAAAGTAAATTAAAGTTTCTATTGCCAATTACTCCGTACTATTGTCATTATCAAATCCAACAAAAATTACGTCATGATTCTTTTTAACTTTAAAAATTAATAACGTACCAATCACTTTATATCGGTTGGACTTTGGAGGAACCCACACTATGCATCCCTTTGGATAACTTAATTGTATTTGGTTCATCTTTTATCCAATTGTAACCACGAAGTAAAGTAACCATGAAGAAAACTTAGGGTTAAGGACAAGAAAAAGCTAAGTAAGTAACACAAATGTGTACGTTGAAGTGGAGTAGTGAGATCCAAAAGAGAGTGTATTCATTTTTAGAAAAGGGGTGTGTCTTCTTTTAAGGGAGTGATAATCTTCACTTTTCCTGTTAGTTGTGTAAACCTTATTATTCGTTGAGTGTGTTATTTTCATCTTTTTATTTTTTATTTTTTGTTTTCATTGCATATTTGTTTGTGTGTGATTTTGGGCGGGTTAATTTCTAACAAGTTATATAAATTTCTTACAAAATAGTGAAAATTTGAGGATGTATATCAATATATATACAATTTATGGAAGAAGGGCTTTTTAGATCATCTAATGAGAGAAGAATATATATTGTAATAAGTTGAATAACTTTCTTTACAAAATAGTGAAAAATTGAGGAATGTATATCAATATACAATTCATGGAAGAAGGGCTTTTTAAATCATCTAATGAGAGAAGAATATATATTGTAATAATTTACCCGGAAAAAATATGTATATATTGTAATACATAATCCACCATAAAAGAAAGTTTTTGAGATCATAATTTAATTAACCAACTCAATACAACTACTAAAACTGAAGCTATAATTGTTCCATCGAAAGTTTAACTTAATTAACTCACTCAATACAACTCAAGCTTTTTATAATTGTATTTTGATTTGATATTTTCTTATTACAGTATTTTTCGTGAATCAGAAACCTAATTTACAAAATTAAATTTTAATTAAAGAGATAACCAACAAATTAAGAGACAAAGAAGTTGAGAGAGCGCAGAAGATAATATATATATATATATGTTAAAAAATATTAGTATAGAAAATAAGTAAATTAGATAAAGAGAGGAACCTAGTGTAATTGTTCATTCTTTTTTTTTTTTTTTCTTCAATTGCCAATTCGTTTAGTTTGCTAGAATTGGAAACACAAATGTATAAAAGAAAAGGTGTAATATGTATTAAAATAGAAGACATTAATGCCTTTTTAATTATCTCCGTTAGATTCAAGGTCACATAGCGCTGCTCTAACCATTTTAATTCATGCTTTAAAAAGTTCAAATCTATTTTTTTATTTAAATGTTAATTGTTATTATAATTCTGTGTTTTTTTTCCCCCCCTAAATTTGAAGCAAACACACCCACTCACTATATATATGGATAAAACTTGTCTACTCATTGCTGGTGTGATCCAATCACAAATACACAAATAATGTGTAATTTCAAAATTTAAAAAGTAATAAATAAGGAAATCATTGAATTTATTCTAAAAAAAGATTATTATCCTTATTTATCAATTTTTTTAATTTTATATATTATTTGTGTATTTGTGATTGACCACATCATGAGTAGGCTAGTTTTGTTCTACATTCAATTTTTTAATTTTGGAAAGAGAGATTATACCAAAGTGTAATCGATTGTTATTATAATTTTTGTTACAACATACTAGTAATGTGTGTATATATATATATATATATATATATATTATATTATTTGTTATGAATTCAAAAGAAAAAAAAATGCTGGTCACTTCAACCAGTCAACCTCATTGTTGTAAACTGTTCTTTCTCTCCATTTTTTTACTTTTGACATCATTTATAGTGCATCTTCTTCACTTCCAGTTTACTCTCTCCAATTCAAGGGGAAAAAAATCTTCCGCCAATCACTCTGGCCAGCGAAACTGCGTACACAAAATTATCTGATTTCTTCTTGATGTAGAGATACAATACGAGGCAACTATTCACCCTCCAAACACACATCACCACTACACCTACCCAGGGCCAGCTGGACCCTTACTCGACATAGGGAGTTGCCTGGTATTATATCTTTTCTAAAATTTTTATTTGGATCCAAAATTTATATTTCTTTATATTATAACTTTCAAATTTTTTTATTTGTTTATATTATAACATTTCTAAAAGTATTATTTCCTTCTTATTATTAAACTCTGCCCGATAGAAAGGCCTCAATTTTTTTTTTATTTCTATATATTATAACCTCCTTAAAATTTTTATTTGTATAGATTATTAGACCCCAACCATGCCAATAAAAATTTAATAGGGCTAAAAGATTTTTATCTTTTATCTTATCTCTTTTTTCTCTCTCTCAGCTCCTCATTTACGTTTCTTTCTTTTTTTCCAGAATTTGTAAAATTTTCCATATTCTTCTTCTTTTTTTTTTTTTTTTTTTTTTTGACTTGTTTTCCCGCATTTTTCTAATTGGATTGACTATATATATATATATATATTAGATATTAAGAAGTTTATATTTTTTTTGCCAAAGGGCTCAAATTATATTGAGCTGCCCCTGCACCTACCATATTCTCTTGGGGTTTCAAAAACATCAAAATTGCAATGCAATTTTCCAAAACTGAAGTCACAGTAGTAATTCCACTCCTTGGTTAATTCCATCAGGAAGTTTCCTTTTCTTGTTGGCTTGGTTTTCACCATCAATATCCCTAGTTTTACATTCCATAAGCTCTGGCTCTGACTCTGACTCAAGAATTTTGAGAAAATAACTACAACACATATATCAAGAATGAGTTTGAGCATGGCAAAAACAAGACAAAAAAGAGTTCTGCAACCCTGCAGTTAAGCAGATAACCGTTAAGTTTTGCATAAAGTCGATCATCACGTTTTGTAATTTTATTTATTTATTATTTTTTTAAAAATAATGCCAAAAGTTTAAAGTCTTCCCTCCTAGCACTTCACATAGGGACCAACACTACATAAAGGCAAAATCATTTATTGTTCTCTGATTTTCTGCAAATTAATGTAAATTATTGATTGACATTGTAAATTCAAGATTAGGAGCACTCTTCATAATATTGAAGTCACAGTAGTAATTCCACTCCTTGTATTACATCTTCTTCAAGATTAGGAGCACTCTTCATAAAAATTGAGAAATAAAACAACCTGACCGAGCAGTAATGTTCATGCCCCGTACATAGCATCAAAATTTAAAGAAAAAAATTTATCGATTAAAGTAGTCCTATACTTGTTGGGTATCAAACCCAAAACATTAACCTAGTACGTGGAGTGATTTTTACCCTCATATAAATCTCAGATCCCCTTATATATTCACTAACTGATGCGTCCACTCGTTCAGCTGCCCAACAACTATATATCACCCATAAAACTTCTTCATATCAAATGTGTCCTGCTTGCACTAGTAAGAAGTTGAAGGTAGTAAATTTATTAGAATTGTAGGTAAATATATAAAAAGGTGAAAGTTCAAAAGGGTTTTTAGGAGTTTATATACGGGCAAATTTAAAAAATGACAACTTATCTGACCAACCAAATTAATTTCTGAATCAACTCAGCATATATGTTATGGTAAGCAAGTCACAACTATATCTTACAATTCTGAACCATGACAACTTAAAAAATCACCGAGCAGAAGAATGAAAAGGCAACTCACGAACTAACAATAAACTTATGAAAGGAAGAACCAGAAAACAAAAGGTGATATATTTGAAGTTCAAGAAGAAAACACAATAGTCCTGCAGTAGTTCATTCAAATCATAGAAACATATTTATTTTTTCAAAAAAAAAAAAAAACAACTCTATATTAACCAACAGAGCTGTGACCAACATTGGAGCCATCGTCAGGAAAAAAGAGACGAACAATGCCCATCTCATCATCACTTAGAATATCTCTTCCTGCATGCTCGGTTGAACCCTCATCTCCCGTTGAACCCTCATCAAGAAAAGGAGAACAGCAACAGCCCATGTCCTCATCACTCGAGCACTCTTCTAGGACTCTTGAACCCTCATACATGAAGGTAGGAATATGAGAAGCAAGCTTCAATATCTCATCATCACCCTCGAAACCTTTGCAGTGTCTAACATCAAGATGCACAAGTTTTTTGCAGCCCTTCAAAATCCTCACAAGATTCTCCCGATTAAGATATGTCTCTCTTAGGTCTAGATACTTTATATTTGGCAGCAAGGTGCCTATAACCAGAGATTCATGTTCCCCAATGTAGCATCTTGATGAAGTACGTAAATCAACAAAATTCTTGCAATGAAGGCTGACTTGGGTAAGGATTGCTTTAATATTAATATAGCTGCTTTGGAGACTTAACGTTTGCAAATTTTTCCACTTGCTTATAAGACTTGGAAGGATGGAATTTTCCTCCCACAGTAGAAAAGGCAGCTCCAAATATTTCAAGGCAGGACACCTGCCAACAGGGAATCATAGTGAAAAAAATTCTTACATTTTCTTTAGAACTATAATTTACAATAATTTTCTTTTAAACTCTGTTAGGATAAAAGGTAACAAAGGAAGAGTTTTCAATAGGTGAAATGTGGTCATCTAGCTCCTGCCTCCAGACAAACCAAGGGAAAGTTATTTTAACTAGTACCATTCAATAGATTTTCCATTAAAATAATTTGTTCTTCACAGTTCTATACTTGATGCAAACAAAACTAGATATCTGCAGAAAATACGACTTCCAGGCTTAATGAAGACAGTTGGAAAACTGAGGCTCAATTTCATCCAAGAATTAGGAAAGGAAAAATAAAATAAAGAGATTCCATTATAGCAAGTTCAAAATTGTTGAGACATTTAAATGTATTATTTTCACCCCTGCTTTCCCACATCTTCTTTTCCTTCCTTTCTGCAATAACCAAACATCAAAAAGAAGAATTTCCTACACACACACACACATATTTTCCCCACAAAGTAGTTGACTTAGCATATCATTTTGGGAGAAAGGCTTCTTTGCACTGGTGATACCATATCATCAGTGTCATCAACCAATTATATAAATGGTCATGTGACTAAAAGTGCATTTAGGTCATATCACTACATGTCAGCATTTAACTAGTTGGTATACCATGTCATCAATATATACCAGGAGCGTTAAAAATATTTCTCTACTTTTGGGCATGACTCAAAGGTCTTGTTCAACTCTTACGAGTGTCAAGACTTGCATCATCCCGCCCTCATATTTAGTAGCATTCAAGTGTATAAGATTGTAACAAAAACTACAATTTTTTCTTTTGTCTAATAGATTATCGTGATAAAGTTCCGATGACTTACCCTTCTGCAACACAGACAAATGCCTCTTGCTTACAATCTCTCGGAATAACTAGTGAAACAGCAGATCCGCCACTACGATTGATGACAAACTTTACTAATCTAGTTGCATTAAGCCTCTTCAATCGATATCCACCCACTAATCTTGATTTGAAGGAGTCCGTGATTTTAAGAAAATCAAGGTGATGCCAGCACAGAGGATTAAGAGTTGCTTTGTACCATGACTTGCATACGAAGGGAATATCAAATAGCAGGGACTCCATTTCCAATCTCCCAAGCGCATTCACCAAACAATCCATGTTTAGCTCTTCCCATTTTCGCTCTTCCATCTATAGAAACGGAAAGTAAAAGCAACTATAAATTTTATGATTATAATAGAAGGAAAAGGAAAAAAAAGACCATATTTTCCCACTAAAAATGCAAATACACATTGATTAATAATTGCAGTTCATTCTGGGGAAAATGGTTGAGAATTTAAAGTTTTCAATCTAAATTTTGAAATGGGAATCTGCAGGATGTAAAGAAACTAGAGTTTCTTGTAGAACAATGAAGTAAAATATTGACTGTCGGAGTTTCGTGCAACCTTTAGGAAGTAGGAGGAGCTATTCACCCTAGTTTTTGTAATAAAGTAAAAGATACTGCAATGCAATTAAGTATTGTGCTGTCACACCTTTATTCAATTCGCAGTCATCCTTGTTTAATTTTGAAATAGGAAAAAAAATGAATTTTTGTTCATGGTTTCTAGCTAAGAGGTTAACTCTATAAATAGTTCAAAAAGTACGAAAATTTCCACTTATCAGTATGAAAATAGTTTGTTTAATACAATTATAGATGCCAAACCAACGCCAAAGTATTTATTAAAATTAGACTTTAATCATTAAAAAGTAACTGCTAGATAATTGTGTGCGTATTATATTAGTCAAGATTTTGTAATGACATCCGGTGCCATCTAAATCATAGTATTTTTTTTCTATATAACTGAGCGAACCATAAAACATAAATTGCACGTATATCGAGTTTGAAAACAATGGGAAGTGGCTAGTTGGTGGGCTACCTATTGCCGACCAAACTGTAAATGGATAATGCAGTCTTGCAGATGAGGACCCTTTCAATTTTGTGATTAATCTATCATAATAATATTTCATTTATATACATATAGATACACACATACGACTATATGGAGTGATGCAAAATAGGAAAACATAATTACGCATTATATCTAATATTAATTTAACACATTCCTCACCATGGAAAAGACAATTTTCAACAGGAAAATTTATTAAGCTGAGGGTTTAAAACACTCCAATGAGATTCAATCAAATTAATAAAATATTTTATTTTAAAATTTTAAAAATATCAAATTACATGACAAAGATTTTGAGATTAATAGTGGAGAGTGAAAATAAAAGAAAGTAGAATCCACGATGAAATTATGAACACAACCAACTAAAGTAAAAACAAAAATGGCACAAAATTCATATCAGCATTTTGATTGTGTGTAAATACAGAATCAAGACAATTAAAAGCAAGACAATAATACTTAAAACTTACTCTGGCAATTGGGTTTCAATCTCTGTAATTGGACGCAGATGAGGACCCTCTGTAATCCAATTTTGATCGGTAGTTGTTACATATACTGATACATGTATATATATATATATACATACACAAACATAGGAGCACTCACTTGTTACTAGTAAGGCCCAGCGTTAGAAGGCCGTGGCCCAAGCGAGCCAGAGATTTGTTCCTAAAGACGAAAAGACATAGGTGCCCTTACATATATCCACTTCTCATAAAATGAATTGATTTTAGTAACAATGGTTAGGGTAGGAAAATAGCGGTGATACACAAGTCCAACACTTCATCCTATTACGTGTGTGTGTGTGTGTCCGTTTTCTTGAAATAAAAAATAAATAATAAATAAAAAACTAGGTTCACTTCATCATGTGTTGCGAGCCTTTCAGTCTATCAAGTTGGGAATTAAATCTCCTTTGGCCACAATAGGACGAAATTACATTAATTTTAATCATGCATAGAGATCCAATGGCATAATAATTCAACAATCATTACTCAACGCATAATGTTTTATCTTGTTAGCCTAGTTTTAGGACTACGTTGACGGGATAAGAAATTACACTATAATAAATCAAGAAGAAAAAAACCAACATATACAACCAAAGAGAATGTCCATTGCCCCGTCCCGCTAATCAATTTCCACTGTCACTATCAATTTTTTAGGCTACATACATCTCTCTACTGTCTGAACTCTCTCAAACTATTTTTTATTTCTCTACCTTCCCACTCAGTTCTAAATCTTCGGCTACATGAAATTCGAGCATTGGAATTGATGGAATTTGAGAAAAATAATTAAGAAAATTGAATTAAATTTTTTTCAAATTTTACAAATTTTAATTCCAAAACTCCAATTCCACACAACTAAAGACATCCTCAGCAATTTTTCGCAAAAGTGCAACGTCCTATAAACTCCCCATGCTTAAAAAGAAGGAAATGAGTTTGAACCTTATGGGAATTACACTAGCTTACTTGGATGAAATTTTGCTGTAGTGACATCCTGACATGAAACTTACCATTTAATTGATTAAAAAAGAAATAATTCAGAATCAACAACAAAAAGCTAGTCAACTGCAAAACTCTAGTCCAATTGCATAATGCATGTATAAATTTGTTTGTATGTATCCATCATTGAAATTATGATTAAGTTTCAAAGCCAAATATAAATCAAGGTATTAGAAAACTACACAACAATAAGAAACAGTATGAGATGTAGTCGAAACACACTTGAGAACTGAAAAAAAAAAAAAACATCCTTTTAACTATTTTATTTTATTATTATTTTTTTAAGACTACAAGGTTTTTCGTTACTTAACATTTAGATTTAAAAATTTTCAATACTTAATTTCAATAATAAAAAAGAAAACACCTCCTTTGACTTGTTAAGCATTTTAATACTTTTTGTGGTTTTGTGTCTTTTTGTCATGACAAATATTAAAATGCAAATTTAACAATTTGAGAGAGGATTGTACAAAAATTATATAATGAAAATTTCGTACCATAATTTATTTACAATAAATCAGGTGATATGAATAATAAAATTGAAAAATAACTACTCAAATTAATTTTGAATGGTGACAACTTAAAAAAAGTTTAAGAACTAAGGAGCATGAGAATTTAAAGGCACTGTCACCTCCAATAAAAATGTAATAACAAGTTTGCACGTGATTGTACATATTTATAGAAGGAAAAACAAAAGAGAATTTAGATACATTTAAAGTTGATAAAGAAAACAGACTAGTAATGCAGCAGTACATCCACACCATAGATACACGTTGATTTTTAAATTAAACAGTGAACCCATCAAATCACAAGAAAAATGACCACCACTTGAGCTCGATCCCTAACAGCACTCTTGAACCCTCATAACATGAAGAGTTCAACCAGAGACGTAACCATCATAGACTTCACAATCCCCATAATCAAAATAATTTTCATCATCAAACCACTCTCTTGAACCCTTGTACATGAAGGTAGGAATATGAGAAGCAAGATTCAATATCTCATCATCACACTTGAAACCTTCACAATCCCTAGCATCAAAAAACACGAGTTTTTTGCAGCCCTTCAAAATCGTCACAAGATTTTCCCGTTTGAGGGATGCATGCCTCAGGGTCAGATACTTTATGTTCGGCAGTAAGGTGACCAGAACGCATGCTTCATCTTCTCCAACGTAGGCTTCTGAAATACCTAAACCAACAAAATCATTACAATGAAGGCTGACTTGTGTAACGATTGCTTCCACATTATAATCACTAGCGCGTCCAAGCTTTAAGATCTGCAAATTTTTCCACTTGCTTATCAGACTTGGAATTATGGACATGTCTTCACACAAATTATCAGGCAGCGTCAAATATTTTAAAGCAGGACACCCGAAAAAAAAAAAAGGAAACTGAAATAAATTCTATATTTTTTTTCCTCTGATCATAGTTTTCTTTTAAATTTCGTTTGCAAATTAGGTATCAAAGGAAATATTTTCAATTGGTAAACTGTGGTCATCTAGCTCCTGTACCATTCAAATGTCTGAAATTATACAAAAACCATCCTCGGTTTTTTTTTTTTTTTTTTTTTTTTTGTTTTGTCAAAAAGATGATCTTAATTAAGTTTCGATATCTTACCCTTCGGCAACACAAACTAGAGCCTCATTCCTATAATTGCTAGGAAGAACTAGTTTAACAGCAAATCCACCACTACGACTGACGACAAACTTGATCATTCCAGTCGCATCATATCTCTGCAATCGATATTCATCCACTATTCTTGATTCGATGGAGTATGAGATTTCAGGGGAAAAAACAAGATGCTGCCAGCAAAGAGGATTGAGAGTTGCATTGTACCATGACTTGCATACGAAAGGAACATCAAATAGTAGGGACTCCATTCCCACTCTCCCAAATACATTCACTAAACAATCTATGTTTAGTTCTTCCCATTTTGGCGCTTCCTTCTATTGAAAGGAAAAGTAAACTGTGAATTTATTACTATAGTAAAACTAAAATAAAAAGAACAACATTTCCCACTAGAGATGTAAATAATTGTCACATTGTTTAGATTAGGGCCATTCATTCTGGAAAAAAAAAAAAGTGGTAGAGAATTTGAACTTTTAATCATAAATCTTCAAATGGGAATCTACAGAATGTAGACAAACTGGGGTTACTGAAGTTCCTTACATATTGATTTACATTATATATGTAATTTTAGGACAAACGCTAAACTGCATAAGAAACTAAAACACTACACGAGAGTAGAAGCCAATACCGAGCATTTTCAAAACAAATTAAAGGTTGGCCATTTGATAGTTTGAATTGAAAACTGTCACATTCTATTTATTTTATCTGGACCGGAACAAGTTTAATACAAGCCATTCATATGAACTTATAATTAAAGAATCAGAGATAACATAAGCTATACAAAACATTTTTATTCTTGGACAAATATTAGGACAAAGGAGTACTTACGGCTCTAATCTTCACCAATCTAGCCATTTAAGCAAATGTATGGTATTGTATCAGATACGAGAATATATATATATATATATATAGAAGATGAGAAATAAATGGGTAGGAGAGGAAACGTGTCCTCTCCTTTTGGAATCCAAGAGTTCAATCAAAGTAAAAGTAAATTAAAGTTTTTACTGTCAATTATAATTTTCATTATCAAATCCAACAAAAACGACGTCATGATTCTTTTAACTTAAAAAATTAATAAGGCACTGCTAATTGCAGTCACGAATTTCTTGTAATTGGTTAAAAAAAAC